TGGGTTGTGGGGGTGTGGTGTATGAGTCGTGAAGAGCGCTTGGTACCTGTTTTTTCCCACGTGGACTTGTGGGGGTGCGATGATAGAAGGTAAGTGGCACGAATGATGCAAGGGGTAGGCTATCAGTTTCTTGCCCTGTTTTCGCGAGGAACACCCTTGCTCATTGCTGTGTTTCCCATGATTGGTTTTCTTTTGAATACGAATGTGCATAGCTTGGTTCATACCATTCAAGCACATATCAATGCAATATATCCAATCGCACCTTTCAAAAGCAACCACTTGCACAATTACCCTGCGCTTTATGAAAATTTAGAGGGAGAAGTACCACTACAAAGTCCTGCAAGACCGTGAACACAAAAAAAACCCCCACAACTAGATTCCATCTTCCCTACCCACGCCCTCCAATCAAACACACTCGTCTTTTCCCACGCAAAACAATACCTCTGACTCCCCTTCTTTCTTTCTTTCACTCACCAGTTTCCAAAGTAACCATCCACACAATATACATGAAGATTACCAACTCCCCAATTGAACCCATCAACCCACGTGACAACCCTTCTCCCTAACCTTACCCATAAACAATCAATGAACCAATCAAAAGAACCTCGAACCACAAAAAAAGGGACAAGAAGGAACCCCTCAAATGATATCTTCACGTCATCTGGACCATATTATTACCCCCCCGGGCGCTTCACGTGAGGATAGGGGGAGATGAGATGAGATGGATATTCGGGGTATAGAGCACATATTTGTAAAAGTAAGTCAGGTGAGAGTCTATATAGTAAATCGTGGTATACAAGAGTCGAGAAGAAGAAGAAGGAAGATAGAATAGAGAAAGTATATTGGTCAACACAGATATTCACGACTAAATCTTTCCAACTGCGTCATGCCGGAGGAAGGAATCGAGAGAGATAGAAGGTTGTGTAGTGTGGCGATAGAAACATACCAGATGATATAATCGATATGCAACAAACACAACACGAATGCTACATCCATGTTTCCCAAAGTAGGAGGGGAAAAAAATCTTTGATATATATATATATATCAGGTTTATGATTTTCTCTAAATAACCAATTCTATCACATCTCCACCATACAAACATCGCAATCTCATGCACCCTCGCTATGCAATATGTTCATTTTCACATCTGAAAAGACAAAAGAAACCCCCCCCCCCCAACCCTCAATCCACTTCCCACTATCCACAAACCACAACATAGCCTCTAAAACTTCTTCTTCGGCCTCATATCCACCAACTCCAACGGCGCATCCATCAATTCCACCACATGTCCCGGTTTAAGCGCCTCGGTGTAAATATTGTCCACATCGTGAGGATGAAAGATGCCCGGACGGGTACAACTGAGTATTGCCTGTTTACCTGGGGGATCAGTGAGACGGAAGCAGCCCCAGCTAGGTTCATTGTTAGCACTATGAAGCAATTAAAGGGGATGATCGAGAGGTGGAGAGAAGAAAACGAACCTAGGTTGTTTAGTGGGAGCGCAGACAATAGCTATGCTTTCTGGCATCATGACTTGGTACCCGACGTGAGTGTGTAAATCGCGACTGCTCATGAAACATGTTTGAGTCGGGTGCGTGTGTATCCAGCCTAAGACCATCAACTCTTCTTTATCACAGTAATCGAAGAGTTCCTCTTCATTCAAAGTCTCGCACGTGTCGCTAGTGCTGGTCTGTTCGGGAATGATTAAGCGCGTGATGAAGAGGGCGTTGGATTTTAAAATTCCACACAGCATGCCGCAAGTTTCGAGGTTGAGGCGTGTATTGGATGATGCAAGGGCAAGGAACTGGTTGCGGAGTTGGGACGGCAGAAACACTGGACGAAGCGGATCTCCGTTTTCAAGATAGGCAGAGGGTTTGAAGGTGAACTCGTCCAATTCTCCAGAAGGAGTAAGTGGACGCTGGTCGAGTACTTTGCCTGGCAATGGTGGTGCACTTTCCGAGATCTTGCCTGGTACAGGTGGAGGGCGTGGACGTTCGGATCGTGAATCGTATGGAGAGGTCGCAGGCTTGGGAGGCAGTGGTGGAGGCACCATGGGGAGACCTGAAGACCTGTATATTTGTTCCTTTGGGGGTCTCGTTGGTGGAACACCACCCGGTTGGGAGTCGTTCCATATCTCTTGTGCTGTTTTATGAGGAACAGTTGGGTAATGGTATGTGGATATCGCCTGAGATGCTGGATGCTGTGCTTATCAGTATCTGGAGGCATTAGGCATCGTTGGGTTCCAGCTTACCAACGAGTACGATGCTCTCTGACCATTCTGCTGCAATCTAGCAACCTCTTGTATCTGGTTGGAAATATCGTCTCTGTCACTGCCCTGCTGCGTCCACTCATCTTGCCAACTGTCCAAGGTACCACCAGAACGCCGTGCCAGGTCGTCTGCTTCCAAAACATTATGCTGTCCCACGCTTATCCTGTTCGTAGCTCTCCTCCTTACTTCTCGCTGCGCCAGTCTCGCAGCTAGCAAATGATTATCTTGAGCGCGCGCGTCAATGGTCCGTCTCGAGTCATACGACCTTCTCCTGGACCCGTCGAGTTCTTGAGAAGTAGGGCTAGCAGTCTTGCCCTCCAACGACTTGAGCATCTCTTGCTGCCTCTTGCGCCTCGCCTCATAATCTTCATGTCTCTTCTTTATCCGGGGTGCAATTTCCTCGAGCTTCTTCAGGTCCCGGCTGACGGCGGCTGTGGCAGCATTTAGCGCCTTGCGATTCTCGGGCTTGTTGCGGTCGGGGTGGCCCTGTAGTTTCTGAAGGACAAGGTCGGCGTGGCGGTATAACAGGAGGTATGTCTGCGCATCGTTGCCTTCTGCTTCGTAGACTTGTGCCTGGGAAGCTGTGAGCATGCGCACCTTGCATGGAGCCTAGCGACGCACCTCTTTCTGCATGGTATTGGCAGTGCGCAGCCAGTTTGCCAGGGGAATGTGCGCATCGTAGGTGTAGTTTCCAGCCTGTTCGGCCACCTCTGCGACGCTCACGGGCGTGTTGATGGCAGCCATGGCGGGGGGTTACTCGTGTGCGGCGGCGGGGGTTTGTGCAAAGTATAGTCGCGGATGTCAGGGTCAAGGCAGCAGCTTAGACATGGGATAGCAGAACCGCTATGGGTGCGGGTCGGGACCAAAGCGTCGTCGTCAGCGACATGTGGGAATGGGAATATGGGCGAGTTGGGCATTCGGGCACTGTGATGGGTGAGGGTGGAAGCTTTGGCGGGGCATGACGGGCAAGCAAGCGGGCAAGCAAGTGGACAGGCACAGCCCAGTCAGTCATTGCAACTCCAATCCCGATGCATGGCTGACTGGGTGAGGTGAGATCAGCAGAGGTCACTCCCTGCTCCCGAATTAGAGAAGAGACAAATGCACAACGCCTTGACGTGCAGGGCACAGGGGGAGGAGGGACAGCAGCGCGTGTTCACGTGTCGGGACATCGGGGTACAGATGCACAGTCTAATCGCGTCTAGCATCCAAAAAGCATACAGAACCATGGCGAGCAGCGGCCAGCAAAATACAAACATCTTCATCTATCCTCGGAATCCACCGACAGCTTGTCCCACTCGCTATCCGTAGACAAATCGCCTGTAGACTCGGCCATGCCCTTTCTTCTCTTGATCGTCTCGTCGGCTGGAACTGCAAGCCCTGTAGTAGCGCCCGTAGAAGTGCTCGCACCGGCTGTCACAGGAGGCGGTGGCGGGCTGCTCATAGTACTGCCTTGTGGCTTGTCAACTAGGACGGTGCTCTGTGCCTCAGCACGCGGTTGTTTGGGCTTGAGCTGCGGCACCTGTCTCTGCTCAACCTCAGTCTCAACTTCGGTGTCGTCTCCCGAGTCCATGGCTTCACCGTCGCCATCGTCGCCCTTCTCCTTTGCGCCTCTTCTAGCTTCACGAATACGCTTCGCCTCCTCCTCTTTCTCTTGCGCAGCCCTGATTTCTGCCGCAAACCAGTTGATTGACCACCAGAGACCTCCACAGAGGAGAGACAGGATGATAAAGTGTATGCTGTAGGTCGCGAGGAGCATGGCAAAGAGGAGAAGCTGGAGCGCGGCGAAGGAGGCGTTTGTTGCGACAAGGAGCGTGGGAGTCGGCCCTGGCGTGAAGATGGACTCCCACAACTGCTCAAAAAAGGACGCCATGGTTTGTGTGTGTGTGAGTGTGTGAGTATAAGTGTGAATGTGAGTGGGTGCTGATAACGTCTGTTGGTCGAGAGGACTGATAGCAGCGTGCTTGCCGTGTGTAGGTATTTGACCGAGAGGGTTACTACTGTACTATGCTCGTATCGTCCTACCCCGCGATATGGCTGCCTGGCAGATTGAAGTGAACACTTGTAATCTTTGCGATGTAATGCGATGGAGTAGGCAGGCAGACAAAGATGTGCCGTGCGATTGCGACTGGGCTGTTGACCAGCGCCAGAAGGGACTGACCGAGGGGCCTGTTGGAGACTGAAAGACGCTCGCTTGCTGTCGCGGGGCTGGCATCGGCAGAGGCGTCTATGGGCCCGACACTCATCTCCTGCCTGATCACGCGTCTTCACTCCTTAGATTGCGCCCATCAATAAGGATTCAGGGCCCTCCGTACCAGCCCTGCTCGTGACCAGACTTCTTACACGGCCCGCCCACCTGACCCTCGCTGATTTATACCTCCATGCCATAGCACGCTTCGACGCCGCCGGCTGCCGTATGGTAAATACACACAAGTAACGCGCCAGTGTGCATCGGTACCAATGCTTCAAAGCACAAAGGAGGCATCATCGGCCGTGTGCATGTTGAAAATTACAAAGCCAAACGTGACCTGGCCATCACTGGTAAGCTAATGCAAGGACGGTCTGATGTGCACATCGTCTACTAGGTGTGCTTACACTGCTCTATTTCCTGGCATAATGAACACCATCTCAGAGCACTCAATTGCATGCTGCTACGCCATCGTCGAGGCTTACATAACAAACAGCCTGCGAGACTTATAGCTCCACCACCATGCACTCCGCTCAAGTCTTGTATCCAAGACAAAGCCAGCACCTCGGCCCCGCCTCTTGCACTGTCCAGACTAACCCCTCCACACCAGGGACGTTGTAGCCTGCCTTTACGCCACATAAATGGACCGACGGCTCCAAAGACAAAAAACGGACATGCCTCCGTCATGGATATCCATGGACAAAACACCATTGCTGTGTGTCGAGGACATGTATTACTAGCACCGGATGTGACTTTGCCGCGGACCAAAAAAGAAGATGGTACTAGTACTATTCATCCCCTCCCCCTCCCCGGATCCACCTCGACAGCACCATAATGCTTCAAGAACCTTCCCCGGACAATCAGCCCCTCCATCTCCGCTACAGCAATCGGCCATAATACCCTTCCAGCACCATCCTCCCATCCAATCGGTCGTGTCCCATCAAATGCATCTTCATACTCTGGTGCCGCGCTCATGTACCCCGGGCCAACCGTGTTCATGGCCACTCTCCTCGTCCGCCATGCAGGCTCCGCCTCGGTCTCTGTCAGCATGTTTAACGCCGCTTTGGACATGTTGGTATGTACGTGCTTGCCCCGTTTCGCCATCGACGTAAGGCCGTCTTCGAAGATACCCTCACGCGAGGAGACGTTGATGACGTAGCCTTGGGGTTTGAGAGCCTTTCCTGATGCCGCAGCTGGTGATAGCTCCGCGGTACCCATCAGTGGAAGGAGTTCTCGACAGAGGATGAAGGGAACAAACGTATTGACGGAAAGCGCGGAACCAACATCTTCGTAAGGGATCTCGGATATGCCTTGTACCCACGATGACTTGGCGTACGGCTCAATTTTTGTCATGGTACCTTTTGATGCCTCGACTTCTTTTAGAGTCCACATAGCATCGGTATCGTTTTCTGGGCCATCCATCCGTGTTGAATGTGCCTTCCCGTTCTCCAAAATCAACAGCAGTGCTCTACCTCTCACTCTCGCTGTGTAATTTTCCCCAAGCATCAAACCTGGATGCGTCCCATGTCTCTTCAAGTCTTGCTCGCGCTCCATGGCATGCTGTTCTCTCTTAACACTATCCGTAAGAGTCTGAGCCGCATTATTAATCAGCGCATACAGCCTGGGTTCTTCTCCATCCGCCCACTGCTTCAAACACTCCTACAAAGATGAAGGTCACACGTCAGTTTAGGTCCCAAATTACCGTTTTTGAAAAGCTGAAAAACATACCTTGACTTCACGCACCAACTCAAACGCATCTCTAACGCTCCGAAAATCTGCACCTACTACCCTGAGTCTACCTATCCATTGACTAGAATCCACCTCATTTGTATATCGTGATACAGCATCTCGCGGGTACCGACTCGTAGCTATGACTCGGCCTCCGCAACGCAGCAATCGCAACGCAGTGTGGTATCCGAGATTGACACGTGCTCCAGTAACCAAGGCGGTGAAATTGAGCGCCAAAGTCATTTTCGGTGGCAGTGAGATTTGAGATGAAGCGTGATTGAAGGCACCACAGGGTATGCACATTGATGGGTGAGAAGGAAACGGGCGTCCGATTTCGAGCCGGCAGATGTAGCAGAGGCGCTTGCGGGGTACGGGTGGTGGTTCTGGGATGCTTGGAATAGGAACCTCGTGGTGAGTAGCAACTTGCTCCTGTAGCCACGTTGTAATAGATTCGGCTGTGGTGTCTCGTCCGATGATTTTCTTGTCTTGTAGATGTACGAGAACTCTCAATGCCGTTGACAACTCTTCTGGGAGAATTTCTCTTCCAAATTCTTCCATCTCTTCAACAGCTACATTGTGTGCTGCATTGGGTCCATCATTCCTCAAATACCGCCGGATCTTGCTAAGGCAATTCTCGTAAATCAGTCGTCTGAGCTCGTGGTTCACACCAGGAATCGGTGTTAGACGTGCAGCAATGGCTCTTCCGAGGTCTGTATCGTAGCCTGGTAGATACCATGCCACCCAACTACAAGCCTTCTGTGCATCGATCAGTTCCTCATCTGCGCGAAGCCGCTCGCATATTTCCTCAGCGGACTTCGTAGCCACAAAGTGCGGTGCGTGTGATGGAGACAGCTCTACCGTCATGTTGTAGATCTACCCACCAAACAACCCACGTAGATCTCGGGGTGTCGCTCAATTCAAATAACTCTCCAGGCAAAAATACAAGTTAGGCTCCAATGTGTTGGCCTTTTTCCAACGCCATCGCTTTTATCCCGCCTGTGCCCTTTTTGCCTACTAGTAACAACACCCTTTTGTGAATGACTCAAAACCTCGTATACGTACCGCACCTACTTACTACTTACAAAAACCGCCCAAGCAACTGGAATGATGTTCACGACCAAAGTCACATAAACAAACAAAAACAAAAATTCAGATAATATATGACCTTGACCTATACACAAACAAACGACCCTCCAGGGTGAATAAAAATAAAATATGATAGCAATCACAAAATACCACCGCATATCGAAAAACCTCGAATCTCTGCCCTGCGAACTCCACGAAGATATCCTAATCCGCGTCCAATTCCACCAACTCATCCGCCTCTCCTCATGCGCAGGTCCCCGCCTAACCTGGTCACTCCAGCACAGCCTTTCCCCCTGGCACCGCTACTTCTCTTCCCCCACGGCCATAACCTCGATGCAAGAACTCCTGGCCATAACCGACACAGTAGTCAAACACGGGTTCCCGCCCTCCTGCAAGCGCATGGATTCCACCAGAATCTACGAAGAGCGAAATCTACGCTTCCTAGCGTATAAATCTTCGGAATGGAGTTCCAGCTATAGCATCGTCGAGATGCGGGACTTGCGTACCAGCGAGGCGCTGGCGAAGCATTGGCTTAACCACCTATCCCGCATGGTGACTGCAGTACTCAGCCCCATCATACCGGCAGACCCTTCCTTCCCGCAACTCCCTTCTTCCTTCCCAACACCCGCGTCCCTCGCCTCGTTTATATCGTCCTACCAGTGCGCCCGCGAGAGCAACGCAGAAGCGCTGGCGCAGCAACTGGAGCATCTGGCGGCGCTGTACGAAGCACATCCTACGTGCTTCAAGATGCCGTTCGACCCGCGGTCTCATGCGCCGAGTACGCTGAATGCGGAGCATATCCCCAGTACGATGCGATCGCAGGCGAGGCGGATTGTGAAGGTGGCGAGAGCGAGCAAGCGGCGACGGAACAGGGAGTTTTTGCATCGCTTTTTGTGGCCGGGGCTTGTGCCGTACGAGTGCTGTGTGCGGTTGTTTAATAGGGTTGTGCTGTGGACGGGGTTGCTAGAAGGGAAAGAGGTGGAGGTGGAGGGGGAGTTGATGGAGGAGTGTAGGAGGGTTATTGAAGGTAGGCCGATATGGGCTGATGGTATGAGAAAGGGTAAAGAGGTAGAGGCGAAGAGTGAGGGGGATGTGATCGAAGAGTTGTCGAGTACGATGGGACGACAGAATCTAGAAGCTGATGCTATGCCGATTAGTATTCAGGTTTGTCTCGAAGACGCGAAGGAGGATATAGACAAGGTGCTGGTTGTGCCTCGTGTAGAGGCCGAGTTGCAGTGGCTGGACAGGTTTGCGCAAGTGACGGCATCTTTGGAGCAGGCGTATCCTGACTTGGCGAAGGATAGCTTAGTATCTGTTCCAGCATGAAAGTACTAGTGTTGATTTAGTATCGCCTCCATCCCTATATTCCCTCACTATTGCAGTATATCCAAAGTTACACTCAGGTATTGATGCGACCAACCATTGTATTCAGACTCGAGAGGGCGGATCAACGGGATATCACAACAATAACAACCAAAATATTCGTCTTTAGATTCGCACTCTATCGCCCCCCTGCAGACAAAGTTTGCGACTTCAACTGTTTTTGAATGTACATTTTGACATGCTCCTGCGTCGGCCATCCGCCCCATTCTTCTACACTCTCAATCTGCTTTCTGATGAGGAGAGCAATGTCTTCGGGTGCATAAGATGCATGTTGAAACCCCATGTCTGGCCCTCCACCGCTAATAGCCAATCTTAATGCCACCAGCATCCTGAATAAAGTGTCCATGCCGCCGCGCTGTGCTTGCGCACGTACACTGACTTCAGAACGGTAATTGGTCAGCCAGGTCGTAAACGAGTAGAGACCTTCATAGTCGCCCAGAGCGCCTAAGGCTCGCACATAAAGGTGAAGCTCTGTAGGCCCAGGAATGTGTGGTGAAATAACACCACCCACGGGCTGTTCTGGATGGGAGTGCATGTTGACATTAGCCCCAACTAAGCTGTTGAATAACGCTCTGAGACGGGCTGAACCCGTCGACAATAAGCGCGCGTCTTTGATAGACACAATATTCTGGTCCACACTCTGTGCGGCATACGTAGTCGCCATGCATGCACAGCCAAATATGTCATCATCAATATCAAGATCAATCTGCTCAATCTGCTCAAGCAAGTCACAAACGACCCTATAACGTTCGACTTGGACGGCCTGTGGAAGTTTTCTTTGATGTAGCAGCTTGTTGATAAAGATTGCCCAGGCGGGCCGATGTTTCGGCCGATAACGTACAAGAAGACTATACGCATACTCCAAGAGATAATTCCTGTTGGTCCGAATCTGCTGCGCGTGTTCTTGAGGATCCAGTACCGTGGGTTCCCTTGGGGGTGGCCGCTCAAAACGCCCAAAACGACACAAGAACCGGATAATGGCCGTAAAGAGGTACCCATCAACTGAATCGACCGAGGCGTCGTCGTCGTTCATACAATACAGTATGCGTCCTATACCACCATTGAAATCGTGTCTGCTCATATGCAGTAGATTCAGACATATGTGGAAGTCAGGACATGTTTCCAGGAGGAAGGCAAGTAATCGATGCGAAGGCTTGATGTTGGCTGTACGCATTCGTTCAAGTAGCTCTTTGTACTCAGGAACAGGCTCACTGAGATAAACATAGTGCAATGAAGATGACGGATCTGGCAAGACCTCTTTCATGTCTCCAGGCAGCAGATGATTACTATCATCTTCGGGGGCTTGATCTGCATCAGCCGAAAGCGGTGGGGTGGGTATTCTCTTTACAGCAGAATAATGTAGCTTTTCGAACATGGCGAGATATACCTCGGAGTGAGCGCTTTCATCCGAAAGTTCGTGAGACAAGAAGCACGCCCAGGCCTCTCTTCGCGTGCGTGTAGTCCGTATACGTGCAGCCCAGAGTAGCGGGCGTATATGGTAATCGTCGTTGAACCTCGAAGAAACATGTGGTAGTGTGGTTCGAGTTTGTATTGTTGGACTGTTGTCTGTATCCCAACCAGCATATATCTGTACCATGTCCTCAAACATACGATTGGTGTATCCAGCTTCGTACATGCGATGTAAGAGCTGAGAGGCACGTGAAGCACCAAAACTGTAGCCTTTTTCTTCGTCCATTGCTGTACGGTTCTCCTTCCACGGCGGCCAAGATGGGCCTTTGAGTTCTGCCCAGTCTCGTTCTTGAGTGGTCTTGGCGTGGGCCAACTGATTACGAGCTACTGCCCGGAAACCGGGGCGTGATACTACCATAGATGGTGATGTACTAGCCATGTACTTGAGTATCTGAAACTGAGCCTTCTCCTGGTAGGTGGCACAGACTAAGGGTCGGACGCTTGTTGGCAGACATAGCAACACAAGGTATGAATTGAAGAAGCGAGTCATATCAGACAGCATCCGGGGTGACCTATCATGTAAGCGACTAGACTGAGCAATCAGGAAAGACGTGGCCCATGTCATAGACTCAGGCCAGACTTCGCGCAAATGGCGGAGTAGGCGGACTGCAGTAATCTTGAGCTGGGACCATTCAAGAGTGTCTAACTGGACAAGCCAGTCCAGATGCCTCATAATGATACCTAGACTGTGCACTCTGATATGTTTGCGGCGCAGAAATAGCAACAGCAGGAAGAGAGGGGGTACCTCGGACTGTTGTTCGAAGACTGCAGCCGCCACATTGCATTTGGGCTCAACAAGACATGCTGCCCACTGCACCACGCTTTCGGGTCTGTAACCTTTGGATCGCAGCAACTGCAACTCTGAAGCAGTAAAGCGAAAATCAGACTCTGTGGGAGGTGAGGAGGTGCGGTACTCGAGGTAGCGCGCAAGTACAGAATAGAGCGAAACAGGCTCAGGATGCTGCACAGGTATGCCGGCAGTTGCAGGGACTTGTGAATCTTGTTCCTGGGTCACAGAGTCTTGTGTAGTGCATGACGAAGCGCTCTGACTGGAGTTATTGTCCCTATAGAGGTCTTTGGCTGGGCCATTGATGGATGCCAGAACAGTGGCAGGCCTGCTCTTGCGTAGCACCTTTCGGGCATTGCGTG